AGCTGAGCCGAAGGCAGATGCTTAACAACTGAGCCACCCAGGCGCCCCTTAATTTTTCTGTTCTGCAGTATTTTCTGATGTTTTTCTAGGCTGTAATAGATGATTTTTGTATACCTAACCTTTTTCACTTTCAATTGCTTCACACAGATAATAGTAACATTACTATTCGGAATATCGAGAATAAGTATTTATCCTTCTCACAGAGAGTCATACATTTGCTCACACCACACACTGGTAGATCAGGGAAGCCATACTGCTCAGCTTTCATGAATACCAGCTCTGGAGTCCTAAGGATCTGGATTCAACACCTATTAGTTATAAGATCCTGGGTAAGTTCCTTACCCTCTCTGTTCTCCAATCAGTACTCAAGTGATAGGATTCCTGTGAGATTAGGTGAGGTATAATGCATGCAGAGCACTTAGCATAGGCCCTGGCATGTAGCAGAGATAAATATTAGGTGAAGAAAGACTATGGTAACATTATTTATGTTTCTTGTATAATTATATTTACTAAAACTTCAAGAAAATTAATTATGTGTAAAAAGAGGTTTTTCCTTATGGATCCTGATTTTAAAGGAAGTACTTGTTGGTGAGGTGTCTATAGTTCATCCAGGGACTACCCTCCCTTCTCAAAAGGGGCCCTGGAAACTCCTGAAATCATACATAATAAGTCATGTGAATGTACCTCAGAGGATACATAATTATCACTTACATGAACACCAAATTATTTTTTCAAAAATCACTAATATCCTGTTTCCAAGTTAAGTATTATGGCTCTTCCCCTTATTTTTATATGATCACATGGTTTTTATTCAACTTCTTTGTACTGATTTACTGATGTTGACTGAGAGCCAATTTATAAGATATTCTTTTTTAAAAATTATTTATTTATTTGAGTGTGCATGTGTGTTGGGGGGGGCGGGGAGAGCGAGAATCTTAAGGGCTCCATGCCTGACATAGGGCTTGATGTTCGGCTCGATCTCATGACCCTGAGATCATGACCTGAGCCAAAACCAAAAGTTGTACACTCAACCGACCGAGCCATCCAGGCGCCCCTATGCTATTCTTGAGTTCTCAGGGAAAAAACCTATTTGGCTGAGACAAAGTATTCTTTCAACATATGGTTAAATTCAATTTGTTCATGTTTTATTTAAGCTTTTCGTTCTTTCAATACATTCATAATTGAGAAAATTCTGTTTCTTTTTAGATGTCCATATTTTTGCAAAATTTAGTTTTATGTTTTTTAAAATTTTATTTATTTATTTGAGAGAGAGAATGAGATAGAGAGAGAGCATGAGAGGGAAGAAGGTCAGAGGGAGAAGCAGACTCCCTGCCGAGCAGGGAGCCCGATGCGGGACTCGATCCCGGGACTCCAGGATCATAACCTGAGCTGAAGGCAGTCGCTTAACCAACTGAGCCACCCAGGCACCCCAAACTTTTAAACTTCAGGTCATTTTGTTTGATCTGTCAATGTTGCAAGCCAAACACCTGACATTTTAAAAATTTAGAGTCTGCTTTTTAAAATGGAAGCCTGAACTATTTACATTTATTTTCATGATTAAGAGTTTATTTATTTTTTTAAAGATTTATTTGAGATAGAGCGTGCATGCACAGGGTGAGGGGCAGAAGGAGAGAGAGGATCTCAAGCACACTCTCTGCTGAGTGCAGAGACCAATCCAGGGCTCCATCTCACCACCGTGAGATCATGACCTGAGCTGAAAACAAGAGTCGCACACTTAACCAACTGAGCCACTCAGGTGCCCCTAAGAATTTATTCTTAAATTCCTTCTTTCATTACTTTTGTTCCTTTTAAAAAAATCTATTATTTGTTTTTTCTTGAGCTCTGATGACTTTGGAAGTATTATAATCAATTTTACATATTACTGGTTTCACTTATTTTAAACTCCAAGATGAAGTAACTTCTGACTATACTTCAGGTAAAAGTAATATTTATACAACTCTTTTTCTTTGCAAGCTAGGAAGCTTTGCCCAATGTTTGAGAATAATGTTTCTGTTATCTCACATTATCATACACACATTATCTAGTATAAATTTTCAGTAATTATTTTTGGCATAAATAATAAAGAAAGTTCTATATATTTAGCTGGTCTCAAAAGACTCATGCAGATATATTTTCAGATCATAAATTCTTTGTTCTTAAATTTTTAATTTTGATTCATGTTTCTGGAAATGGTACTACACATTCAAATAATACACCTTCAGTAGTTTTCTTGTTTTCAGGGAGGGAACATTTGTAATAATTCTGTTAATTTGCATGTTCACTACTGACCTCACAAACAATTGACACTTAGGTGACCAGATTTCTTGTGATAGAATTTTTCCCTCAATACTGTGTAGATACCGTTTTTTGTCTTCTGGATTTAGTGTTTTCTGAGAGAAGTCTGAAATGCACTAGACGTTTGTTTTTCTGTTGAGATACTTGCAAAATTAATCTTTCCCCTGAAATTAAAAAGTTCTAAATATAGTTACAGGTCATAAATTTTACCTGGAATGCAAGATGGACTCATCTCTTCCTAGATTTTTCTGTTAATCTCAGGAAGGTTTTTCTCCATCATGCTCTTTCTACTGTTTCTGCTCCATTAGTACTAGTAATGGGAACACTTACTTACAGGTCAAGTATTTCTGTATGTCCTCATTACTTATTTCATTTTCGTTTTAGCCATTTCTTCTCATGGAAGAATGCCTCAAATTTATCTTCCTTATCACTAATTAGATTTTTCCATGGTACCAATTCTACTATTTTTGGCCTAAGATGCAGTTTTTAAAAAGCAAATAAAGGCAGAACATGGAGAGACTGGTTTTAAATCCCCCTCACTCTACTGCTGGCTATATGGCTCTGGCAAACCATTTAACATCTTTGTTAAGTGGTTTTTCTGTTCTGATGTTTATAAAACCTCTCATGCAAAGTAAGAGCCCCAATACCTATGTTTCATGATTAACATGAGAATCAGAAATAGCATTTGCAAAATTCTTATCACAGTGACTAACAGATTGTCAAAAAATAAGGTGAGTCTGCCATTATTATGAATTCTCTTAGTACAGCCTTCCCCTTGCTTCCTTTTCTTACTGCAGCCTGCTTCCCTTCCAATCTCAGCCTGTTCTGTACATGTTTTTGTTCTGAAGAGGTCCCATCTCTTCATATGTTATTCAAAGAGGTCCTACTGGGTTGTGGTTAAGAGAATGGGTTCTGTAGTCAGACTGTTAAGAGTTTGAATTCTGGTTCTGCCACTAACTATGCAAATTTAGGCAAGGTTATTCAACCTCTCTGTAATCCAGTTTCCACAACTATAAGTGGAGATAAAACCTCATCATTTCATTGTTTGTTATTAAAAACTAGTTAATATGCATAAAACATTTAGAAGTGCTCAAAAGATAGGAAGCACTGTTATCTAGTAAATAAAAGCAGGTATTCCTCCTCTATTTCCTAAAGTAAATCATTTCAAAAATATTTTGTTTTCCTCTAAGTCCTCCAGGAATTTCCCCTTCTTTTGAGCTAAAAAATCTCTTCCTCAGTATTTTTTCCTAGGATACTTATCTATGAATAAAAAAGAGTTTGAATGGCCTGCTATGTACCAAAAGAGGCTGGGTAGATTATGTTTAGTCACCTTACATGTGCGTGTTCCCAACATCTAAACTGGAGAATGTGTAAATGTACGTCTCCTCTGCCCATTTTTTCGTTATCCATTTAATTGAGCATTCCTGGCCTAAACTGCATCTGGTTCATGCTTACAAAGCCAGTTCTATCAGTAAGAGAAAATATAAGGTTCTACTTTGACTGAGTCCATAAAAATATCCTCAATTGTTTCAAGGGTTCTTTCTGTTTTTGTCCAATGTATACCACTTTACCCAAGGGGAGGGCATATACCAATATGCAATGTTCCATCCTCCATATGCCACTATTCCCTTCCATACTCATACTGGTACCACCAGAAGAAGTGCATTATATAAAAGGGCAGCATTCACTATGGGAGACTTAATCTGCCCCATTCTGTCAGTAGGTCTAAATTGGTATGCAATAGTAAACAGGGGTACTACAAACCTCTCACAGGCGTGCAGCCGGATTCTGGCCAGTGTTAGTACTTATTTTTGCCTCACTTGAGAATATATACTATTACACTGATGGCTGCCAGAGAGAATATTAGAATGAAGAGGTCGCATGGCAAAATTCAGAAGAGGGTAAAATTTGCTGTAAGTAAAATATAAGCTATATATAACTCATAAAACTCTTGCCAAAGAAATACTATGTACGAATTACCAGAACATGCATGAAGTTATTTGTGTGTGTGTGTGTGTGTGTGTGTGTGTGTGTGTGTGTACACATAACAGATTATGGTCAAAGGAGTAAAAAGTCCAAGTAATATAGCAAAACAGGTCTGAAGAGTGAAGGGTACATTAACTGTGGATATTATTACAGACTCTTTAAAAAATACTCTGAAATCAGGTTGTAGTCAATTGCTGATTTGTTTAGCACTGTTCTGAGTTCTGCATTTTTAATCTCTTCAACTGTGCTGCCAAAAATTGTCATTTGAAAGTGTGCCTCATGAACAAAAAGATAATTACTGCCTTCAGATTCCATTGATGTCTCCCGGTTCTGCTGGGTAGAATCAGTTCAATCAGTCTAAATAAAAACAAGCCACTGGAGATCTGAAGTAACATATGACTCCCTAAGTTCTTCACAATTCTGGGTTAAAAATCTTGATTTTCTTTAAAAATGTGTAATATATTGGCCAGCTGAGTTTGCCCATTCTCTCACCACTCTCACCAGTTTGTCTAGGTTATTTCGGTAGCACAGCACTGAAGACTGAACTCAGTACCCCAAGAGTCATGTGGATTCTAACATAAGCTTTATTTTACCATGTGCTTTTGACTATGACATAGATTTACTATTTTCAATTTCCAAAGTTCCTCAGAGTTTTAATATGAAAGTCGTAATTTCATGCAGATATAGAAGTCATCATTACCAAACGATCGATTACTCACTGCAATTTTATCTCCAGATTTGCCAATTTTTTTCTTCAGTTTTTTTCTTTCATGAATGAGCTCATGGTGGGTCTTAAGCAATTCCTCAAAGCGAACTTTGGTTTTTACTTTGGCTTCACTCTCCACTGCAAAGATAAAGACTCTTGTCATTTTCTAAACAATTCTATTATACCAGGTATCTGCATTATTATGTTAAAGAACACAGTCTTGTAAATACCTGCATGAGTTCTTCAGCTACTTTAGAACTGACCAGTCCTTCCTTCTTAAAAACTTTTCTTTTGGCTTTGTTGACACCACACTCACCTGAATCCCTCTTACATTTTGGGATACTCCCTTTAAAAGTTTCCCATACTAAGTTAACTTTCTACTTGTGACTCACGGTAGCATCTACCACTGTTACGTGGCCTTAACCAACTTACTTAACAACTCTAAACGTCATCTTCATTATCTGTAAAATCAGAATAATCCCATGTCAAAGACCATTTGCATGAAGAATGGCTAACACTTAGCTAGGCAATAATCAGCATTCAATAAATACAAAAAGCTGAAAGTTATTTTTTCCTTTAAAACTTAAGTCAGATCATGTTATTCCCTTGCTTAAGACCTTGCCAGTTTCCCCACTTCACTTAGGACAAAATAAAATGAGTCCTTCACACGCCCTACAGGGTTCTCACTTCCTGGCCTGCCTACCTCTACAGCTTGAATCCAAGAGAAACAGCCCCTTAGATCCCTATATTCTAGCCATTCTGTCCTTCTCACTCCTCCATCAGAATAAGCACCTTTCCATGTGAAGCTGCTTCTACCTGCTGCAAACTTCTTGATAAGGAAAATGGAGAACCAGGCACCCGTGTGGCTCCCAAGGATGGGCTGAAGCCGGGATCTAGGCCTCTCAAAGCTTTAGATGGGAGATCTCAGGTTTCAACACCACGTGTAGGCAAAATGTCTGATGCTCAAGCAGCCTTACCTAAAGTTGCCAGAAAGGCTTTGGGAACTGTTCAACAGAGTCACAGAAAACTCAGTTGGGCGCCTGGGTGGCTCAGTTGGTTAAGCGACTGCCTTCGGCTCGGGTCATGATCCCGGAGTCCCGGGATCGAGTCCCACATCAGGCTCCCTGCTCAGCAAGGAGCCTGCTTCTCCCTCTGACCCTCCCCCCTCTCATGTACTCTCTCTCTCTCATTCTCGCTCTCTCAAATAAATAAATAAATATTAAAAAAAAAAAGAAAACTCAGTAAAGACTAATGGATCTCTCAAACAGAACTTCTCAGCTACTGGTGTTAAGCTGCCTATTCAAATGTTGCCTCTAAAGTGGAACACTTCCTGACAATCTCATCTAAATTTCCCCATTCCTCACATAGCAGACTGTTCTTTTTCTTCACAGCACCTACCACAGCTTGAAACCATATAATTGTGTATCTACACAAATATA